TACATACATGCATGCATACATACATACATACTCATACACTGCCCTCTAACAAACTGCACAAACCATTTATTCTGATGTATTAGGCAGAAGGTGTTAAATTAAATCTACTTGAAGTATCGCTTCTCACTCTTATCTTAAATAGCTAAATTGACAGCTTTCCTCAAAAACCTGATTACATAACTTTTGATTATGCACACTGCATTGATACTCTTGTCTTTTATCTTCTAAAATAGCTACAGCTACGATCAAAACTAGAACTCTTCACTGGCTGCTGAAGATGAGAGTGCTGTGATGTCAGTTTCTTTACTCAACTAAATTGTTCCATGGACAGAGCAGATATCATCAACTCTGTATGGACTGAGCTAGTGGATAATGATGAATCTCTGACACTAACATGATTGCGTGACATGGGAGTGAAGCATGGTGAAGCACGTTTATGCCACTTTCAAGGCTGAGATAGGAAGCATTATAACCAACCTCTCATGGGTACAATCAGTAGAAGTATGCTGGAGTGGCTCCTGCATCGGAGGACTGAGCACACATGGGAATGCCCAATGTGCAGTGACGTTGATTGTGATAACACAACATAACATAACTGTTCTATAATAGCAGAGATAAATCCAACACATAGATATCACTCTCCCACAGAACTATCATGTTAAAAGGGAATGAATGAGCAGATTGGCTTGCTGGTAGAGCCATGGCAGGTAAAGGACAAGCAGTGGACCTGGCCATCATTCTTAATGCACTCAAGGAGGCAGGATGAGTAGATAATTCTGAAGATGACGATGAGTTGGCAACATTCAAAAGACTACAAGAACTTCAGGTCAAAAGAAGTGTCAACAGACAGGAACACTACATAAGCAGCCAAAGAAGAATGTTAAACCAACACAGAACTGGAGTTCTCAGTCACCACAGGCCGATGTATATACTGATATACTGAAGATGGGATCCAAGCGCTTATGGACTTTTCCAGTGTGCAATAAGGATAATGTGTTTTCACTCTGGTGCAGTAGAGAGACTTGTGAATTCTAATGACCTCAAGAGCCATGCTGATGGTAGCTTAGTTACCCATGGTCTCTTGTGTTGTTTGTCAAGAAGTCAGAATAAGAGAAAGTTTAAGAGACAGATTAAGGACAGGCAAATGTTAGGGGAAGCAAAGGTGACACACAAATTTAAAACAAAAATCTAACTTCATCATAACTCTCCAATACTCTTCATACATTAAATGTAACATTTCATCCCTTTATTAAATGTCATGCACTCTACCCATATGAACATTTGATGTTATTTGCAAAGAAATAGCACAACAATACAATTTTGGTAAACAAACCAAATTTTTATAAATGAAAAGGCAGTCTTAGCAATTTAAAAACAAATTCTCCTTCCTATTCAACCCATCTTGGTTATAATTGGGATATTGATTGTTCTTTTTAATTTTCAATATTGCATACTGCTGCTTGTCAATTACTTTTAGCTGTTTACTACTGCAGTAAGGCCACCATGCTGTAATGGCTAGACGCCTGCCTGAGGATCGGAAGGTAGTGAGTTCGGGTCCTGGTGGAGGCAGACTTTATTTTCTTCTTCTTCTTCTTTGCGTTCACCAGCTGTACACTCTGGCGGAAAGTTCTGGTTGCTCGTCCACTACTGAACTGCAGTCCTGCTCCAGAACCTGAGTGTTGCGTGTGCATCAGTTTTACAGATCTCATTCTCTTGAATACAGACTGTTGGTTCCTTGCCTCTCCGGCAGATGCACTCCGACTTCAAAGGAAGCTCCCCAATTAGTCGACTCTTACGACATGCTTTTGGGGAGGCAGTGGGTCTGTTCTTGTTTTCCCCACAATGGGGCCCCGGAACCCACACGGGGGAGACTTTCTTTTAAAAACTACCTTGGCTCCCAGGTTGACCCAGCCTTAAAATGGGTACCAGGTAGTCCTCAGAAGTAAAGGTGGGCAGCGTGATGTTGATCACATAATGCTCAGAGTGCCAATTGGTTTAAAAAAAAAAAAGGTTTATCCCTATATACCCAATATGCCCTGGTACCAACTGCCACAGAGAGCCATGCTGAAGAAATATAATGAACACAGAGCAAGGGGAAGACCACACAAGAGATAGAGCAACACCATCAAGAGCAACCTAACTGAGATAAACATCAGCTTGTACAACGCACTGGAAAAAGCGCACAAATGATCCTCACATCCCCCCCCCCCCCTAATACCTCGCTGAGGTAAATGGTAGAAGAGAAGGAGAAGACCAAATAGTCTAAAGACGTGGAAAAGGGTTCTTTTAATACTGCACACATTCTGTTTTAAGTGAGACAACTTGCTAAGTTTGATCTAATTTTGAGTATGCTTTTTAAATAAATATGAATAGTTATATTTTGTAATCAATGTTTGGGAATATCTAAAGTAATCTGTAATACTCTTATTCTGTCTTAAATTTATATTAACATTTCATATGCACAGTTTTGTTTCTGTGATGTACTGTTTAATCCTTCTCTGCAGCTCTCTTTGTGGTGATTCTTTTCTCCTGATATATTTCTGCTGGTTCAATTTCATTCACTGTGTTTTCAATCTTTTGTGAAAATGTTTTCTCTTAGATTTGGGAAGAAAGTGTCATACAAAAAGATATAACCTTTCGTGTGTCTGGTCGACAATCATGAACCCATTCTCAACCTTATCTTTAAAAGTATCAAACAATGCCAGGTGAGTTGATTTGAGTCAAGAATTGATATCACAGCACTCGGGGCATCCCCATGCATGTTTCGTCCTTCTTCAGCAGCCAGCACAGCGTTGCAATACTGATGGTACCGGTCACAATCTGGTTATATGTCCGTCTTGCCTTTCCTCTGAGTGTAGTGAGCTGGCCAGACCTTCTGGTTACATCCAGGTGCTTCATTCTCTCCAGGCCATAATAATCTTCTAGATCTACAAATTCTGTTGCTTGTTCCTAAAGGGCCTAGACCACATATGCCTTATCATGTATCAATTCACCACCCTGGTGGTGCAGATCCAGTGAATCTGTCTTCTTGTTCATTACCAACCATGCCGGCCGGCATGGCCAGTGCTTTGTTAACAATTTCTAACCCAGACAACTGTTACATCAATGTAATGAATGTCAGAATGAGAACACACAACAATATTTTTGGAGAACATTATGCCAAAGTAGCAAATATGACTTTACTAATTCTTATTTTTCTTCTCTTCCACCTTGTACCTCATCAAAGTGTTGGGGAGGGGGGGTTTTGTAATTTTTTTCTTTTTACACACAGAAAATTATGTTTGCATCTATGCCCAAAAGATAACATTAATCATTTGACTCAAATACGACAAAAGTGGTTCATTCCTTGCCTTATATTATGCTTGTTACATTGGTTCATGTTATAACATTTTAAAATTAATAACATACTTGTTCAATGACAATATTAAATGTAAATGTAAACATACAAAATTTAGCCTGTGCATGGATAACTTGTGTTAGTGAAAAGAAAACAATTACATAAATAAAATAATTACTGATATCAGACACATTATAGGCAAAATATTATCTGCACACAAGTAACAGAATATCAAAAGAAGCCAGCTTCAAAGCAGTTGACCCAGAAAATGAAGACCTAAAGTAATGAATAGGTCTTGAAAGAAAATGACTCACAAAGAGAATTGTTTGCCCAATCAGAAGGAGACAATCTAAATTCATTGGTCATGTCATGAGAAGGAGAAAACTGGAGTACATGATGGTCGTAGAAAAGCTGGAGGGGAAGAGAGGCAGAGGGAGACAGAGAGAGAAGACGCTGAATAGAATGACATTATGGCATGAAAGATCAACAGTGTCAGAAGTGACTGAAAGAACATTAGACAGAAGGTTGTGTAAATACATTACTACCAGTGCCACACGACATGGGCTATGAGAAGATTAAGACAGTATGTTTCCTTTTCTAGGTACATGATGCTGCAAGAATCCTCCTGTAACATGTAAGTTCAAAAGCGCTGATTTTCCATAGTAATCATAAAATAGTCAATAACTAACATGTGTATGTTGCCACATGGAAGATACATGTTAGCAGGGTTTTTACTCTAAGTTGTTAGCCAATGTTGCTTAATAGGCTGTTCATACTATTTAAAATCTGGCGTGCAGGTGTTTGGGGAAATAAACAGGCAGATAAACTTGCCTGGTGCTGCAACATTGAGTGGTGAAATGATGCATGACAAGCTAGATGTAGTCTTGGCCCCTTGGCAGAAAGTGAACAATGAAGAAGCCCTAATAGATAGATAATCATGATGTGGAGAGAATGGAGCAGTGGGAAGTGACAAGAGGATCTGGTCAATTTTCTACACACAGAGGAAAGACAAACTGGCATATAACCAAACTGCTACTGGTACCAACGGCACTGGAATGTTTGCTGAATGATGAAGATGATGATGGAGCATTTATGGAGCTTTCAAAATTACTGTGATTTCAGTTCTTAATTCAGCACAGCCATTTCACCTCCACATTGCTAAGTTAAGTATCTAATTTCTGGTGAGCAAAAATTAACTTCCCGTTGTAATTTAAAACAGATGACATTGACATCATGACAAGTTAAAACTGTGATTACAATCATCAAGGTACTTAACTCTTTGAGTCCCAGGGGGTTTAGCATCACAGGCCCAAGGGGTAGTCAAAAGAGATGTAAAATTGGCACATCTTGCGTTCACTGGGCTTCTAGGTAGGAATCTATGAACGTATGATGCGTTCCTTGGGACTCAAAGAGTTAAGTTAAATTTTCTAAATCACTTTTTACTTATAAACCAGTACAGCTGGTTACATATTAAAAAGCTCTTTCCAGCAGTACCTAACTCATGCCTGTATATCAATTCTAAGCAGAGTTATCAAAGTTTTTGTGGAGGAAAATTAATAAAGAAGAAAAAAATTCTGACTGTCATCAGGAAATGCCTTGTTAAATGACATGAACATGAATGATCTTGCTTCTCCACCTCTCACAATGAAATCTAATGGCACTTTTATAACTTTTCATAGACTTCAAATAAAAACGTGATTCCATTTTCCTCACAAGTTTCCTGAGGTACATTTTCATCCACTGTGTTTGGAACCTTCACAAAGACTTTCTCATCAATGGCCGGAAAGAAAGTATCACAAATGAAGTTATGGTGAACTCTTGTGATGTACAGTCTACAGGGATTCACACGCTGCATGGCTTCCTTGTAGACACTAGCCCCTCCAATTACAAACACACTTTCAACCTCATTCTGGAGACTGTCACACAGTTCCAGTGCCTTGTCAAAAGACTTCACTACGTGTGCACCTTCAATGTTATTCTGCATCTGTGAACTCAGGACAACGTTAATCCTATCACTCAGTGGACGGAACTTGGCTGGTATAGACAGCCACGTATTCTTGCCCATGATCACCATGTTCTTCTTTTCAGTATTTTTAGTCACCGTGGTAACTTTTCTGAAAAAAGCCATATCTTGTTTTAGCCGCCAAGGAAGAGTGCCATCTATACCGATGCCCATGTTGTTACAAGCTGCCACCACGATGTTTAGCTTCCTGGTTGTAGAACACATTTTGGCAGTCGAGACACACGAGAAAGATTATTTAAAATGTTATGAACAGACCGTACCACAGGAAATTTAAATTTTAATCTAGCGGGTTTCTGTATGAGTCAGTATATCACTAATAAATCTATATATTATCTGAGGTTCACAAAGATAACTATAAATTTACAAAGATGGACTCATTGAGTATTCTGTTCTGGGTGAGTATTTATACTAATCCAGAAAAAGAAAATAAAACGAGGAAGTATTTAAGGCTAGAAAACGCTACTCGATCACAGCTCAGTGCCTGCCTTTCAGGGCTGCCAATAGGATATTTTTTGAAAAACCCAGCTTCGCTAAACAAAAACCCAAGCAATACATAGACAGAGAACAATAAAAACAAAATAAAAAAAACCCAGATTGTTAAAATGTACAAAATGTATAGTTACGAAACGAAACATTTACCACTTTTATATAAGGATATATTAAAAAAAAAAAAAACAAGATTTCCTGAGGCCTTTAAGAAAAACCCAGATCTGGGGAGTGGGGGGGGGGAGGGGGGGGACCCAGCATTGGCAGCCCTGCAGCCTATGCGCGGTACTTTTCGCGCAAATTTAAGGGAAGTAATTCAGGTAATTATAAGTAAAAAGCGGTATCCTGTTAAAAATAACCCTTTTGATATTTATCCGATGCCATAAACGTGTATTAGGAAATATTACTTAACACTCATTTGCAATATAGTAATGAAAATGACGTGTATCTATTGACAATCGTTAATAAGGAAAAAGACAGACTGATAGAGACACACTAGATAATATCAAAATCTAAAACTATATTTATTATACAGGGAATAAAACTTGTCGCCTCAAAATGACAATACAATCTAGCTATCTCAAACACTGCGTCGAAATATTAGACGCAATTTTTCTGTTTTATGTTTTGTTCTAAAGCCCCACCCTGGCTGTTGACGTGGGCCATAATATAACCCATTCTATGGGTTGAACGGGGCTTATGTGGCATGTCCCCGGGTGATCCTGATCCGAATGGTTGCACCATGTGTCACCGGGTGTTTATCGCTCATTGTGATGTCCTGATGGGGTTGAACGTCATCTTCATGGACACCACCAAGATCCCCGTCCCAATGTGGTAGGCAATTTGTGTATTATTTTAAAGTCCAACCCTGGCTGTTGTCGGGACCCTAAATATAACCTACGGATTCAACAGGGTTTCTAGAACTTGCGCCCGGGTGATTCTCATCCGAATGGTGGCTCTTCGTGTCACCCAGTGTTTATCGCTTGTCGTGCTGTTGAACGTCAGTCAGTCTTCCTGCAGGAATACGTGTACTTCGACGCACTGTCAAATGGACACGGGAAACCGGGTGTCATTACAAAGAAAAGTTGCACACGAGCCAACAATTATGGAATATGGACACCGTTCGTTATCTAACCAATGAAAATATAAAGGTCACACATACACACAACAGATAAATATGCCTGCACGCGCGTACACACTCGCTCGCCACACACATTAGTTCCGGTAATGGGGGTGACAGCAGCCAAGCTGATGATAAGAATTCATCACCATCAAGTGCCTTGCCGATTGGGCGATCATGCCTCTCCACCAGCTGGTGTGTTGACACACCTTCAAGCCATGACGAAAGACTGTCAAGAATCGTCTCACGCTGTCTTCCTCTGTCTCTCTTTCAACAGATCTATCCAGTGGTGACATGTTCCATTTTCCCTCTTCTCATTACATGACCAAAAAAAAATTCGGACTCTTTTTTTTTATGTTTGTGATAAGTTGTTTGATTCTTTCTAAACATCTAGATTGCTCTTCTTAGCTGTCAAGGGAATTCTAAAAATGCTTGTATAAACCTCATCTCCGCGGCCTCAAGATATTGTTCGGCTTGTTTATTAATTGTCCAAACTTCACAACCATATGTCAAAACTGGTTCTATATAGCATGCAAGAATTCTTTTTCTAAGCTCCAATGGCATGGATTTATTGCATAAAATGTTCATTTTGTAAAATGCAGTTTTCACCTGTCCTATTCTAATCTTTATCTCCGTGACACATCTTCCATTTGATGTTATCCATGTGCCTAGATACTTACATTTCTGAACTTTTCCTAAAATAACGCCTTCGACTTTTATTAGGCACTATTCTTTTCTTGGAAACCACCATTACTTATGTCTTTCTATTTTTCAAACTGAGGCCCATTTTATCACTTTCTACCATCACTGCTTCTTTCAATTCCTTTAGCTTGACAAGAATTATTAAATACACATTTTTTTCCCTTTAAATTGTGACTAAAAAGCTGAACAGAGGGAGTGAAAAAGAAGCGCGCAAATACTATATGCTTATACGATGTATTTGTGCGCGCCTTGTCCATTAGGTTGTCTAGTCACATGTTTGTAGTTTAGATCTTCCAATAATGGAGAACATCGCGAAAGCGCTAATAAATCGTGACGGTGTGGACAGAATGGTGCTGCCGGATTTGACCAGGGGATAGGATCGACACTACGCTAGGAGGAAACTGTTACTGGTACCGTCGCCGTTAGAATTCTTCGCTGGCTGCTGAAGATGAGGACGAAGTGTTAATGAAAGTGTCCTCAGTACTGTAAGTTATTAATCACTTCAACTCAGCTATTTAATATCTGCACAGATATTAATCAGGCACCGCTTCCACAATCATATGCGCGCTCCCTCTCTCTTATCTTCGTTGTACACTCTTTCAGATTGCTGTTCATCCATCTTTTGATGTTTTCCTCTTATTTGTATCGTTGTCTATTTCTTGCTCTCTTGCCCTCGAACTTTCCTTCCAATATGGTTTTTAAAAGAGTGTTATGTCTTTTTATATGGCCACAATGTTTCACTTCTTAAACTAACTCCTTTCAATCGCAGTCCTTCCAGAATCTCTGTATTTGAACGTTTTTGTTTCCATGACAAAATATACAAATTTGTTGGATATCAGTGGTGAAACGTCGCAAGCTAGCTTGGTTCAGGCACGTGGTGAGACATGATTCGATTGCAAAAGACTGTGTTTCAAGGAGCATTTGGGGAAAAAGGGGGGGAGGGGGGAATAGTCGAAGAAGAGGACAAACAAAACCTAGAATGACAACATCAAGAAATGGACAGGACTAAGTTATCATACATTTACTCATCAAGTGGAAGACAGAGAAAGATGGCGGGTTTTGTAAGCTAGTACTTCCATCAATACACCTCCACGACCCTAACGGACCAAGGTCTGTTATGTTATGTTTCCATGAAATACGACCTATCCAGGCTCAAGATTGATTTTTTAGATGCTTGTTCATTGCCCAGGTTTCTGCACTATACAGCAGGGTTTAGTATACCTGATGTAGGCGCTAGACATTTGCCTGCTGATCTTAATTTCATGGGGTCAGATCCTGAAGGAACCAGAATTTAAAAAAAGAGGACCTTGGCTCCCATGCTGACCCAGTCTTAAATGGGTACCAGGTAACGTCTTGGAAAATAAAGGCAACTGGCGTGATGTTGACTATTTCACCCACCCAGTGCCCATTGGTCTATAAAATAAAGGTCTAGCCCTATATGCCTGAAGGCACAAAACGGGCTTTAATTTTTACTGTTCCCAACAGACAGACAGTAAAAGCAGAACAATTAGGAGTTTCCTGAAATCGGATGTGTTGAGCACAGCCTAGCTGTAAACCACAAAACAAGGTATCAGCTGCCCTTTTCAGAAAAAAGGCAGCAAAAAAAATAACAAAACAAACTGGGTAAAAATTTAAACAAATATTTAAGTTTTATTTACAATGAGTAAATCAATTATGACAGTGCTAGCCGACTAAATAAATAAATAAATACATAAATATGGAATAATTTGCCAACTTTTGTAACTTGCATTATATTGTCACTACACTAAAGCCATTCATGTGCTAAATACTTGTTTCAAGAAAATCATGTCTTACCCCAAGCAGGGGAAATCCATGGGTCAAGGGACAATCTAATATTTCAGGGGTTGCTAGATAGGCTGCATGCAGTCGTGGGACCTAGGCTGCATGCAGTCGTGGGACCTAGGCTGCACTCTTTCGTGGGACGTAGGTGGGTTGGGGGTATGGCCAGTTCTAGATGTTTTGGGGTCGTTTAAAGCATCAGAAAGCCAGGAAACCCAGTCTTACCACTCTCTAAAATGTTGGACTGTCCTCTGACGTCATCTGGGGGTAACCAAATCTGAACATTGAGTGGCAAATGAAAATTGTGTAGTTAGATGAAAAGTAATACTGTATTCATGTGTGTTAGCCCGCACCCAATTTCTGAGATGATAATTTAAAGAAAATAATTCTCTGAGAATTTTGTTGAGACCAAACCTAAACAGTAGTAATTGTAAGTAGTGAAAGATGGGCTACGTAAGAGCAAGTTACAGTTGTAAAATTAAGCTCCAAGTAATGCGTAATGTACAAGAAAATGGAAACCCAGCTGCTGGGAGAAAGTTCGATGTGGATGAGAAAAATGTACGAAGATAGACTGGAATGAAAGACACTCTTGAAGAAACGTTCCATAGTCAACAATCTTTTCGTGTTAAGAAGGATAAATATGTGGAAGTAGAAACCAATGATCCATCTACTGGAATATGTCAAGAAAATATGAGCGTGACAGATTTTCTGTGTCTGTGGATAAGTTACAGTTTGAAGTGCACCAATTATCAGAAATCAGGGGAATCCTCAGGGTGAATTTAAAGCCTGTTATGGCTGGGCAAGGCGCTTCATGGCACAGAATGACCTCAGACCAAAATGGCGCAGTGACTTCCTGACACCTACCCAGGGCAACTGTTTGTGTTTCAAAATTACAGAAGACACAACTACAGCAGGGAGGTAATTGGAAAAGCAGATGAAACTCCCATTTATTACAAATTGTTGGTACAAGTGACATGTAGGTCTAAATTCTAATATGCCGCACCCTTTTTTTCATCATCTATTTTCAATTTAAATACTGCGGCCTATATACATGTAAATACAGTATTTCATTGTGACCCAGTGGTGTACAAAACCA